CGAGCTTGCTGATGTCCGCGAGCCTCGCGAGGATGATGCCGAGGTCGCCGGCGCATGCGCTTACCAGACCGCGCTCGATGGCTGAGAGCTCGCTGGTGAGGGCTCCGATGACGGGGTCGAAGACGAGTGCCCAGATCGTACCGCTTAACGGACATCCCTGAGCGACTCCTGATGCTGCGATCAAAAGGGGGCGGCGTGCACCTCCCAGGTCCAGGTAGGAGACAGGCCAGTGGTAGCAAGCCTGAAGCATGCGTAGCATGTGTCCATGAATGCCCCACCGCTGGAGAACATTCCACATCCAGTGGTGGCCGAGGCTGGGGAAGGCGGCCGCGATGTCCATGCTGACGAAGACGGGCTTGTCAGTAGCTGCATTAGGTGAGAGACTGCGACGTCGAGCGGCGGCGTCAACCACGACGACGTTGCGCAGAAACTGGCGGCCATTGACGAATCCCTGCTGCTCGGGGGACGTCTCGGCTGCGAGGGCGTGAAGCTGCCGGTTGGCGGCGGATGCCATCAGCTTCACATCCGAGCTCTTCATTGAAAGCGGGCGTAGGCACTCTGGAGCACGGGTGCACTCAGCATTACCGCAGGGCTCGCCGCCCTTCGGTAGCATGGCCATGAAAGAGTAGTTGAGGTCGTGAGGCGGCGCGCGTCTGGTGGCGATGTCACGGCAGAAGTCGGCGAGGATGTCGAAGCTGTCGGGAGTACGTAGCCATGCTTTGTAAGGTAGTGTATCGGGACCTGGTGCGGAGTCGCCAGCCAGGCGAGCAGCCTTCTCAAGCGCTTGGGCGTCAGGTAAGTCGAGGTGGGTGAGCGCGCGTCTGGGGAAGATCGAGTCGAGGTAGTTGGAGAGGGCATATTCGGGAACATGCTTAGCAGCAAAGACGGGGGCCCAGTGGCGCATGATGGCCTGATGCACCGTCGCGGGGTCGGAGACGATGTTGGTGACGCCGCCAGCGATGATCTTGACGCCCGTCAGGACGAGCCGCTTGGAGAATGGCTTCCAGAGCTCGCCGCGGAGGCCTTCCCGTTTGGCACGCTGGTGCCACTTCTGACCGAGCTGGACATTGTTGGAGGCGAAAGCGGCTCGCGAGCGTGCCGCAGAGAGGGCCTTGCGCTCGTCACTGAGGCTCGCGTGCGTGGCGTCGGTGGTCGAGGAGAAGTCGTGCATGTCGTTGATGCTGACGGTGCGGCCGTCAATCTTCAAGTGCAGTTTGCCGATGTCGGTATTGTCGATCAAAGTCTGTGCGAGGGGAACGTTCTGGTACCATGCGGCTCTGGCGATGCTGCGTAGTGTCATGGCCCTGGTTTCCTTTTTGACAGTAGCATTTTGTGATGATAGTTCGGCGGCTGGGATCTTGAGAAGCGTGTCGCGGGCTCTGGCAGCGGCAACTCTCATGGCTGCCTTCAAGGCCCTCCAGCGCGCCGTGGGAGCGAGGGAAGACATGTCGACCGTGGCGAGCACTTTGGAGATGTGGTGCTTGTAGTGGTCGGTGTCGAAGATGTGCGCGGGAATGCCGCGCTCGGTGACCTTCTTGGGCTTGCGGAGACGGATGCGCAGGTGCATGATCTGGTGGTCGCTGACGGGGCCCTTGGGGTTCTCGAGGGGGGCGTCGTCGGCGATGTAGACAGTTTCCATGAAAGGCATGAGGTGGCTAGGCAAGTTGATGAAGCAGCGGTCAATAGTCGACTCGTTTTTGTTAGCCTCCGATCTGTGCGTCGTCGAGGGAGTCACAATCTCGATGACGTCGCGGAACAGGTTGCGCCAGAAGACAGGTTGGTACTGATAACGCTGTGATGCTGTGGTGTCTGAGTCGACAGGCGTGTTCATCGATCGTGGTGGGAACTCGGAGACGTTGAAGTCGCCGACGATGACTAGAAGCCGCTGCTGAGGGACTTCGTCAGCATGTCGGCGAAGAGCGTGCCATTGGTCACGTAAGAGAAGCCGATCTGCTGGAGTCAGGTCGAAGTTGTGAATGTTGAGGACAGTGACTTCGTGCTGGAGGCTGGCGTCCGCGGTCCGAAGCCAGGCGGCTCGGCCAGGGATGACGACCTCGAACCTGAGCTGAGGCCGTTCGTCTGGAGGGGGTTGAAGCTCTGCCTTGTCGTAGGGAACGAGGAAGCCAATGCCGCCAGCGTTAGTCACGGGCGCGCCGTTAACCATCACGGGCGACTGAAAAGTGTTGTACCGATGCTGGGTAGAGTTCGCCAGCAGCTTGAGGTCGGCCAGGGTCCCATGGGTTTCTCGCACTGCGATAAGAGCTCGTTGGCGAAAATATGGTAAAAGTTGCTGTCGTTTGTCGGCGCGACGTAGAGCGGAGTGTCCCAGAAGCGCTTGCGTGTTCCAGAAGGCGATGTTCAGGCCCTCCTGAGAGGGCTTCAGGAGCCATGGGCTCCACCGAAGGCTAAAGCCACTGTGCGGCGGAGAGGGGGTATGCGAAGTTGCTGATGAACTCGGCAGCGATCTGTTTCTGGTCGTCTTCGGAGATTCCATGTCTGTTGGCAGCCTGTGACCACTGGAGCTTAGTCGGTGCATCAGCATTGCTGCCAACAGTAAGGCGAACCATAGCTTCGCCGCGGCACGATATGTAGCCCAAGGTTCTGTGTGTGCGAGCATCGAGGTCTGGTTTGACGTTCTGCATGATCTTGGCGAGGCGCTTGATCTGGACCTCCGTGCGGACGGCCTTCGGGCTCTTGTCGGCGGAGACATATAGGGGAACGTATTTACCATTACCAAATTCGAGAGTGAATGTGCGCCCATCCTTTCCATTGCGCAAAGCATTATGAAGACGTTGTGCCCGAGGTTCCGCCACCACTGTGCCACCGCTGACCTGAAACGAGTGGCGCTTGGAAGGGCCGACCGTGTTGAAGATGACCATGTCCTTCTTGATGTTGGCGGCCTGGAACCATGGGGCGAGAGCTTTTTCGAGGTGTTGCTGACCGAACTCCTGCGGGCTGCTGCACCAGCAGGTGGTGATGTCGGGGTCGCGGTCCCAGCTGCCCAAGCCGTCCAGGTTGAGGGCGGGAGCGCGTGTTTCTGCTGCTGTGATGATGGACTCCAGCTTGGCGACGGCTGCCTTGAGTTCGGAGTTCTGCTCTTCCAGGACATTGGTGCGGAGCTTGACTGCGGTGATGTCTCGTTCTGTGGCTTCGTGACGTCTGCTGAGGTCGGACGTGATCTGCTTGAGTGAGGCAAGAAACTCTGAGCTGGCCTTTGCTGTGACTGCCTTGGCTGTGGCCTCGAACTTGTCGGTGGCGTATTTGATCTGGGCGGCCATGGTCTCCTCGAGCTGCTTCCGAACATGTGCTGGAAGGTCGTGAACTGCGAGTTTGGATGCGCTGTCATACCATGGGTCTTGTTGTCGCTTGACTGGGTCGGTGGCTCCGTCACGAGGGGTCGATGCAGCGCTGGCCAGGCAGTCTCCAGGAGGACCCATGTCGGCGACTTCGGCGATCTGAGGCCCGCGCCAGCCTCTGCGTATTGCGCGTGAAGGTGTCTGCAGGCGGATGCAGCACCAAATATGAAGCTCAACCCGCTGGGCAGCAGGAAGGCGAGGATACGAAAGCGTGTCCTTAGCTGTCCCTGGACCAAGGGTCTCCGTGCTCTGCCACGGGGCGAAATCATCTTGAGCCAAAATGGCTACGGAGGAGGAGGAGGAGGAGGAGGAGGAGGAGGAGTCATGCTGTCCAGCGCTGAGCTGTCCAGCGCGGAGCCTGTCCAGCGCGGAGCCTGTCCAGCGGGAGGATGACCAGGATGAGGATGAGGAGGAGGAGGAGGAAGAGGAGGAGGAGGAGGAGGAGGGGGAGGAGGATGAGCAGGAGGAGGAGGAGGAGGAGGAGGACGACGAGGAGAAGGACCTCCTGACTCATGCTGCCCAGCGCGGAGAGGAGGAGGGCTGCCCCGCCTCCCCGCCGCGCTGCCGCCATATGGCTCCCCCAGCAGCGGAGGCCCCCTGCACAAACTCGTGAGGGCGTGCGGTCGGGAACCTTTTTGCCCTGGCGTGTGGGGGCGGCAGCCCCGGGCGACACGCCGTGTGCCCTGCGAGCGGCTGGCGTTAGGTCGGGCCTGTCCCCCTACAGGAGGATTTTCGACGAGAAATAAGAAATACCCCCAAAATACAACATACATTGTCCAAACATTTTCCAAAATAGTCCCCGGACTATTGTTGGACTACTTTGTGACTATGTTTGGGGCATTTTTGGTTTTTCGTCGAAAATCCCCCTGTAGGGGGACAGGCCCGACTTAAGGCTAGCGTGCTGCCCCGCCCAGCGGAGCGGCAGGCAGGGAACAGCTCGGGGATGTTGACGTTTGGAAATGGGGACGTGGTATTGACAACGAAAAAGCACATCCCCAATCTCAGAATCGCGGATTCACCGAGGATTCGAAGATCGGCCAAAGATTTCGGGGTATGTTTTGCGTTCGTCGTCGTCGCCCTGGTAAAACCCTACCCCAAAATCTCCTTCCCCGAAGTCTCGAGGAGCCTGCATTTTGTCTTGGCCCTCGCGTTTTTGGGATCTGTTTTGACTTAGTGAGGTATAGCGTGTCGCGCCAAAGCCAGGTGGGCCAGCACCGGCGGCGCGACGAACGACAATTCCCGACCGTGGGAGCGCTCGGGAAGCCGACCGCGACCCAAACTCTGAATGGTCAGAGAGGGGGGATGCTGGCTTCCAAATCAATGGGCTCGCAGCTCGGCGGCGAGCGAGGGGGGGAAAAAGGAAAAGAGAAGGCCTTCTCGGAGGGCTCGGAAGTCCCCGAGACTTCCGAGAAGCTTCCTGAGTCATGAGCCCTCCCCGAAGACGCAGAAAAAGCTTCTCAGGAGGCGCGAGGGCTTCTGGGAAGTCCCGCCGCCCTCGGAGAAGGCCTTCTCCTCCTCGCTTCCCCCCCTCGCTCGCCGCCGATCAGCGGGCAAGGATGGCCCCCGATGCTCGACTGGGACGGCCCGAGTCGGCCCAGCTGCGCGCCTCTGCTGCGACGCACGAGGCGTGCCACGGGGCGGCGCCTGGTGACGCGGCCCTCCGCGAAGCCGAAGACGTCCGAGAGCAGGGCCCCGACGAGCCCGCAGGTGTCCTCTGCGTCGGAGGAGGCAGGCCGGTGCGCTGCGGCACGCGCCTCGCGATCTCGCCAGAGGCGAACTGCTTCCACAAGCAGCGCTGGAGAAGGAACGAAGGCCCTCGGACTTGCTTTGCCCCCCCTCTCGTCGTCGGTAGCATCTTCTCTCCGCCAGGAGGTACAACATGTCACATCGCTGCTACGTGGTTGCATTGCCCAGATGCCATGTGTCGTCAGGACTCTCGCTTGCTCTACCGTCGTCCTCGTCCTCGTCCTCGTCCGCATCCTCCTCCCCATGCTAGCGCCGCCCGCCCTGCTCCTGTTGCTTGTGCTGCCGCTGCGGCCCCCGACATCCCGCGCCGTTTTTTTCACACATGCAGCCCCCCATAAGGTCCGGACTCCTTCCCTGGAGCCAGCGACTCATCCCTCCGAGTCATCCTCTGGCTGCTCCCCGGGAGCCTGGCGAAGTCCCGAAGAGGCCGAAAGTGGCCCAGAATCCTCCCCACGTCTTCCTGAGCCTCCTGATTCGGGCCAAGGGAGCCCCACGCAACACTGACCCCCTCGGTGTACTCCAGATTTCGTAATAAAGGGAGGGGGGTCTCATTTCGGGGGGGGTCTCTTCCAGGCTATCTTGGAGGGCCTGGGGGGTCTGGGGACGATGTTTTGGAGGGTTCTCCCACGGGGGAGGTCTGAAATGGCTTGTCTTGGAGGGTCCAGACCCCCTCCCTTTTATTACGAAATCTGGATGGAGTACATAGAACCCCTCCCGGCCTGCGGGCCGCAGCCTCTGATCCTGAACTGCGGGGCAACCAGCCTGCGCTGTTCGTTCCTGGCCGCTGCCTGGCCACGATGCAGTCTGGCGGCGCGCACAAGGGGATCTGGGGGAGGGGGGGAAGGCTTCGTAAAAGGAGGCTGCGTCTCAGGAGGGGCCGGCCTGACATCTATAGACAAGGCCTGCGACCTGTGAGAAGCAGGGGTTAAAACAGGGCTAGGATCGGGATAAATCGCTCCAGAGCGTTCTGGAGCGCTCTCAGAGCGTTCCAGAACGCTCTGGAGCGGCCGCGGCGCCCAATACATCCTCCAAACCCGCCGATCCTCAGAGATTTCGAGTTAGGTATCCCGATCCGATGTTGTCCCGATCTTCGCGTCGTTTTAGGGGTGCTTCTGAGAAGCCGTCCCCCCTCCCCGACAATCCCCTCCTCTGCGCGCGGCCGGGCCCGGCCACGACACAGTGCAAAGACGTCTGTCTGCCTGTGGGAGTCGCAGGTCGGCTACGACACGCGTCCGTGGATCGGAATTTTGGGGGGTGAGATCGCAGGTGGCACGGAGAGCCCGCCACCGGGAAATCGGGTTCAGCTCCGTGCTCGTGGCGTGCGTGCGGGCGGGGCGAAGCTGCGTGGGCGCGCGAGGGGAAGGACCCCGCCGTCGCTAGGGCGATTCGGATGCAGTAGACCGCCCCCTCCGCCCCTGGTTGGCTCGGTGGCCCAGGGTGTCCCGCCGTGGTGTCCTGTGGTGTCTCGTAGGTGCCCAGTTGGTGTATCGCTGGTGTTCCGTCGGTGTTCCGTCAGCGGTGGGCGGGCGGCTGCCGGGGGTATCCCGCCTTGGTATCGATAGTGAAGTCGAGGCTCAGATCGGTAATGGTATCGCTGGGATGACATGGATAGTGAGATCACAATTGAGATCGACAGTGAGGTTGATTGTGACATTGGTTGTGGGATAGAAAACGGAGCCGATAGTGATATTACATTGCAGCGCAACATCGTCATCACGCGTCGTCGCTGCCTCGAGGGCGCGTCACCAGCATCGTCATCTTTTCACCCATCGCATTTGCCAGCAGTGGTTCATCCCCCCCCCCAGCCCACAACCTCCGTCGTATAGGTAGAAATAGAGGAACGCCATGGGAAGGGATGGGAGGGAGGGACAGGATGTCCGACGAAGCGCGCTCACCCCTTCCTGCCATACCCCCCTCTGGGCGTGGCCGGGCCACGACGCGGTGCAAAGACGAGACCGCCCCCGCCGCGCTTCTGCCCCAGACATGCGACGCCCTGATCTTTTCAATGCGGCGGCCCCAAGTCCCGACCCCTTCCCCGGGGCCGTTGTTTCACCCTGCGTCGCTCCTTCACTGGGAACGAGGAAAGGCGACACCAACACCAGCAGGGCGAGGAGGTGCGAGGAGGCAAAGGGAGTCCTCCTGGTGCTGTGGCCCCCCCCCCTCTCGCCCGAGACATCCCCCGCACCCAGCTCGGGGAGGCACCGTGGACCTCCTCGCTGGCGGTGGGCCCCCCAGTGGTGCTGGTGTCGCTTCTCCTCCCTCCGATCCACGGCCCCCGGGGCGGCTCCTCTTCGAACCCCCTTTTTCCCCTTCTTGGAAGGGTTTACCCCTCCCCTACCCCCTTCCCTGGACCTGGACGGGGCCGGTCGCGGGTAGTCAGAGCGTCCAGCACGGCCTCAGCGAGGAAGCCAAAATCAGTTTTACCAGGGTCTTGGCCCCATGTTGGCCTCTTGAGGGGGGCAGCCCTACTTGAAGCTCCCCTCTTCTCTGATCGATGTCCTCCAGGATGGCCCAAAGAAGCGCCCAGGAGGCCCCCAAAGGTCCCAGGAGGAGGAGGAGGAGGAGGAGGAGGAGGAGGAGGAGGAGGAGGAGGAGGAGGCGGAGGAGGAGGAGGAGGAGGAGGAGGAGGAGGATGGCCT